CAAAACCCTATTCTAATTATTAAGGCCCCCCCCCACATTAAACGGATCTGACGTTCTCAAACACGAACCGCAGAAAGTCACCCTAAGCCCCAAGCCCCCAGCCCCTAAACCCTGAACCATCAACCCTAAACCCTGAAACCGAAACCCTAAGCCCTAAACCCCTAAAGAACCCTGAACCATTGACCCTCAAACCTGGTTCTATCAGATTCTGCACCCTAAACCCTAAACCCTGAACCTTAATTCCTAAACCCCAAAACCCAAAGTTCTATCACACCCTAACACCGAAACCCGGAGCTCGGTTTAGGGTTTAGCGGTTTAGGGGTTTAGGGGTTTAGGGTTTAGGGTTTTCCTAAACCCTAAGCCCTAACCTCTCTTACCTGAACCCTAAACCCTAAACCCTTAGATCCCTCATGCCTTTGGGGGTTCCTGATGTCCGGAATCAGCGACCTGGGATCTGGAGCGTCTATCTTCGTTTGGGGGTAGGGTTTAGGGTTTAGGGGTTAGGGGTTTGGGGTTTAGGGTGGATACAAATTGAAAAGAAACGTTGGAAGGGGTTGAGGAGTTTTGGGATTGGGGTTTAGGGTTTAGGGGCTTTGAGTTTAGGGTTCAGGGTTTGAAGTATTTAGGGGCTTAGACTTTAGGGTTTAGGTTTTCTGGGTCCTCTCCCTGCTTCAAGAGCTATGATGTGACCTTCACAGGTTTATGTTCGGGTTGTTTTGGCTCCTCATGTCCGGTGCAGGACCAGGCTGGGAGGATGATAAGGGTAAAGGCTGTACCACTCTGCGGCTGTCCGCTTTTGCATGTTGGTAAAGAAGGAGTAAAATGCCCTCCTGTACGTACTCAACCTTTGTAGATATGAGCTGGCTTCCGCCAGGGCAGCCCAGGCACAGGCACAGGGAAGATCATCTGGACAAATCGAGAGGGTTGGGAACTGAGTACCCGAAGCATTTGATGCAGAAGACCGTGTGGGAAAAAGTGTTGTTTGAGTATGTGTTGCTACTGCTCATGTGTTGTGCTCCCGGCCACCGTAAGTACCAAACTCAGTAAACCCCATAACCTATATATATATATATATACCCCGAGATCTAATTGTAGACGCTTTGCAGATCCCAGCGGTGGTAGTGGTGCAGATAGGAGACGAAACAGCGCCGGGAAAAGACAGCGTTCGACAGAGCCTCATGCAAAGGTTCAGGGCTTTTGCGTTTAGGAAAGGGCTCTAGATCCTATAAACCCTCACTTTAGGGTTGACCATTGGGATAGGGTTTTATTTCGGGTTTGGATTGAAGTCTGTGTCAACTCAATCTCAAGCTCCTAGTTCCTGAAGTCGAAACCTTGAGCACTGCCACCATTTCGCTACCGCCGTGCCGCAAGCACTACTACGGGACCAGAAGAACTAGCAACGGTGTCCCCTCGTCCTGGCATAAATCTACTCTAATATACCCGTCCCCCTCAAAAAGAGCCTGTCGTACTGAAGTCGTTACGGCCCTACTTCCCTACACCCCAAACCCTGAAGCCCTAAACCCTTTAACATCCCCAACAGAAAAGCCCTGCTGAAACGAACCTTTACGACCCCTCTATCAGTCTCGGTCTCCAATTTGAGTCCCTAAACGCTACACCCTAAACCATCTGAGTCCTTACCCCCTAAAACCTAAACCCCTAAACCCTAAACCCCCTACTCCAATTTGAGTCCCTAAACGCTACACCCTAAACCATCTGAGTCCTTACCCCCTAAACCCTAAACCCCTAAACCCTAAACCCCCTAAACCACCTAAACCCTAAACCCTAACCCCCTAAACCCTAAACCCCGTAAACCCCAAACCCCCTAAATCCTGAACCCCTGGACTTCTAAACCCCCTAAACCCTGAACCCTACACCCTAAACACCCAAAGCCCTAAACCCCCTAAACCCTGAACGCTAAACCCCCTAAACCCTAAACCCTAAACCACCAAAGCCCTAAACCCCCTAAGCCCTAAACCCCTAAACCCCTAAACCCTAAACCCTAAACCCTAAACCCACTAAACCCTAAACCTTCTCTCCTTCTCTCTCCCTCTCTCTCTCCGGCCAGGCATGCGGCTGAGAGGGGCTTTCCAAAGTGGCGGTCCGAAGCGAGAGCGCCCGTCGCCCCTTCCTCAATCAATGTTAATATAGAAGCCTGAATAATTCGAGTAAGGTTTTGGGGCCCGTTGTACTATAGTTATAATAAGAACCCCCCCCACAAAAATACTATTGGTGATTATGAAGGCCCCCATGTTAGGGGTTTTGGGGTTTAGTTTGTAAATTTGTAAAGCCCAGCAGAAGCAAAGCTTAGGGCACCTTCCGTGATTTTTCGGGGTGTTGAGCTCTCCGGGAGCCAGATGGGGGAATTCGCCGCGCACAGAAAGGACTGCGGGATACCTTAAACCCCTAAAACCCTGAACCCTAAGACACTAAACCCTAAACCCAAAACCCCTAAACCCCTAAAGCCCTAAACCCTACAACCCCTAAAGCCCTAAACCCTAAAGCCCTAAACCCCTAAAGCCCTAAACCCAAAACCCTAAAACCCTAAAACCCTAAACCCCTAAATCCCTGAACCCTAAAGCCCTAAACCCCTAAAGCCCTAAACCCTAAACCCTAAGCCCCCAAAACCCTAAACCCTTCTACTGGATATGCAGCTTGCAGCTTCGGGCTCAGTGCCGAAACTGCGGGGCCTCTACCCTGCAGGGTTTAGGGTTTAGGGCCTTAGGGCCTTAGGGCCTTTGGGGTTTAGGGTTTAGGATTTAGGGTTAAGGGTTAAGGGTTTAGGGTTTAGGGTTTTACGTTTTACGTTTTGGTTTTAGGGGTTTAGGGGTTTGGGGTTTAGGGTTTAGGGTTTAGTGTTTAGGGTTTTGGGTTTTGGGTTTTGGGTTTTGGGTTAGGGTTTAGGGTTTAGGGTAGGGTTTACCTGGACCCCAAAGAACCTACCGTTTTTAGGGTCCTTGGTATCATTTCTTGATATAAGTCCTTAAAAAGGTAGGTTATTTGGGGTTAAGGTAGGGCTTAAGGTATCAGGGTCCTGCTATAGTAGGAATGCATTGGATTTTTTGAGGGTTTAGGGATTTACGAAGCTGTGAGAGTCTTGGTTCTTAGCCCCTACACCTCCCTACCACTGGAATCTTGAAACACCCTTTCCACCCAAGTTCATAAGATTGCTTGGCCGCAACTTCTTGTGGCCTGTAAACCCAGGAAAAATCTGAGACAACACCATACATCCTTCATCTCCTTAGTTCCCCAATGCCCAACCTATAAACTTTTCGAGTTCTTATAGTTTAGTAGTAATCTGAAAGTTGTTCCTTTCATTTCCCTGGCTGATTGGGGAAGTAAGTCTCCGTATGATCTACTATACTGCTTCTCCGAGAACTCGTAGAAACCATCATCGCCATTTACAGCAGCAACAACACACAACAAGCCTTAGAACTTCGACAGCCTTTATGAATCCCCATGAAGCCTTGACAACCCTCTAAAGCCAAACCCTATACCCTAATCCCCCAAACCCAAACCCAACGCCCCAAACCTAACCCTAAACCCTAAACCCCTGTGCTGTGAGCTTTGAGCGCCTTGTGCCTTACTTTGCTCAAGGAAGTGCTGTAGCTCTCGACAAGCGGAAAAGCGCTGCGTTGCAATGGCAGCCGTTCTTCAGCCGCTGCGCCGTCTAGGTAGGGTCCGGTCTGGGCTTCCTGTTTACGGATTCACAGAAGCTTTCTATGAGGGTTCAAGGTTTTGGGGCTAAGGACACGTTGTGTCTTCTAGGGTTTTAAGTTTTATTTATATAGGTGTATATCAGGTCGTCTAAGGTGTTATCTGTTTGCTTGGGGTCACTTCTGTAGGGATTTGTGTTGGAGTGTTCACGCGGCTGCCCGGTAGATCCGATTTCCTAAACCAATGATTTTTTAAGCAGTTCTGTAGCTGTGGTATTTCTCTTACATCTAGTAATAGTACAAGTTCTTATTGGTCGTCGTGGTGCTAGTAGTGGTAGTAGTAATAGTAGTATATGCTACTACTACTACTACTACTACTACTACTACACTACTACTACTACACTACTACTACTACTACTACTACTACTACTACTACTACTACTGCTACTACTACTACTACTACTACAACAACTACTACTACTACTACACTACTACACTACTACACTACTACACTACTAC